AAAAAAAAAAAAAAAAAAAAAAAAAAAGTGAATTTTTAGAATTGTATCATTGCTATTAAAAAAATTACTGTTCAGAAAAAAAAGGAAAATGTTAAAGTTGCCATTTAAAATGATTACCAAGGTTTTTGATAATATTTTTATATTCTCTGCTAAAATTTAGATATTAAACTATAACAACTTATTTGCTTGTGTGTAAACATACAGGATTAACTAAATTTTTTTCCCTGACAATGTTTTATTTTGAGCCATCTCAAAATAGCTAATTTTACAAGCCAACTTAAAAATTATATGATGTTTTATCATTTTCTTTACAGTATATGATTTAGAGGGTAGTAGTCTTGGGGATTATTTTCTTTTAGGGAAACTAGTCTGAACACTTAACACTCAGTAACTTAGTGTTGAGTGTAGTACATGGAAGGTTTGGTCAATATAGTCCTCAGATAGAATAGTTTTCTTTTCCTTGATTTTCTGAATTTCTCTGCCAGTAACAACCAACCTGTATCTTATAGCCAAAGAAAGATCTCCACTTCCTGATGGAGTGTAACCACGAGTATAAAGGCTTTCTTGGCTGCTTCCCTGATATCATTGGTACTCACAAGGTAACTTCATCACAGATGTTTCCAGAAGACAGCACCAGGAGAGTCGGGGCAGACGTTGTGCATGGCCGTGGTCAATGCTGTTTTTATACATTTATATTTATTAATAAAAAATGAACTGTATCATTCCCATCATACTAGGTTTTCAACTAAATTAAAAAATTGGTTTGGGATGTCTTCACATTTTAATTCTGGTTAATTTTTCTCTCCATTTTTCAAAATCTGTATTACCTCAGTCGTGAGTATTTTTTCAACTGTAGTACTCTAGTATATTGTGATGTACTTGGGTTTATTAGGAAACAAAAAGCTGGTCTATGGTCTTAACAATTCTGGCATGTGGCCTAAAATGGCCTAAATACATTTTAATATTAAATTTTAATATTTAAATTTAAATTTTAAAATACTAAATATTAATTTAAATTTTAATTTTAAAATATTAAATATTAATTTAAACTTAAATTTTAAAATATTAAATATTAATATTAAAATGTATTTTGCTTTTAAATTCAAGTATCATGAAGGGGTAGCATAGGTAAACAAGAAGCTTTGTACAACTTCCAATAACTTAATATAAATTCAAAACAATTAGCTTTTGTAGGAATTTATGCCAGCAGAGGTAGATTATAGAGGCATGGAGCCTAATTTATGCATGAGTATAGAGTTTTTCTTTCCAGACAGCCCTAAATAATGAGCTGTGTGATGATACTGGAGTGGGAAATGTTTGTGAACTTTTACAACTACTTCCATCAAAATATTAATTTAACTTGATTTAGTGCCTCTTCTAAATATCCAAGTAAAGCCAAGCCTTACAGTCAGCACACATAAGCACCAGCTTTTAAAATACTCTGTTATTAAAAAAGACAGAGTACCCACGTGTATTCACTACCCTGTACCTAATGAAATGACATTCTAAACCTACTAATGTCTAGAAGAGTCTAGACTTGATGTGCTACTCTTAAAATGGCAGTGGCCTCTAAATACTACAGAGGTCGTGTGCTGTTTGGTTTTCTCTTTTGTTACAACTTAAAACTGTAAATTTTAGCTTAGTTTTTCAAGAATAGCAACATTTTTGCTTCCAAGGGACTTGAAGGAAGTTAAATTTAGATGCCTTCCTCTGTCCTTATTTTGTGGGGATGTTTTTCTGTTCAGTAGCAAGTCAGTTACAGAATATGCTAGCATTGCTATATTTTAAACTAATGACTAATCCTTTTAGCTTGTTTTATTAATACTGTTGCATTTTATATTTCACAGGGAGCAATAGAAAAAGTGAAGGAAAGTGATAAACTAGTTGCAACTAGTAAAATCACACCACAAGACAAACAGAACATGGTGAAACGTGTCGGCACCATGTCTTATGCACTGCAAGGTGAGGTAAAAGGGGTGCAAGAAGCTAGTGGAGGGTTTTCCCTGGCAAAGTTGGTATTTCCCTCGCTGGAGAGAAATCCAAATGTGAACAACAGTTAAATAAATAAGCCCTGATTTTAAATACCCTCATAAGCACCTTGTTTGCAGGATTCTAGTATTAATGAAAGTCTGTAATACTTAGTCTTTCACACGTTTGCCTGGTATAGCTATGAATGACAGCTTGATTAAACCTGTGCATTTTATTATTTCTTCAAGACATTGAAGATTCCTTTTCTAACACTTCATTTCATAATGCTCTATTAAATTCCAAAGTTCAGCTTTTAGCAGTCTGTAACCTCCATACCCCAGGACCGTGGAATGTAAAGGGGGTTTGGGTGTATCATTTTAGGCATAGTTTGTTAGTAAAAAAGGAGGTATTAATTTGCATAGACTTGAGTGTTTTTGAGCAGATAGGAGCAGCAAATGGGTTTTTCTGTGTTTTGGAGGACGAGCAGACGACACTGTGTGACAGAGGAGAAGGGGAGGTTCTCCTAGTGTGAGCAAAAGCACACAAAACAACCAGAGGAGATTGTGTCCTTACAGGTTATTGGGAAGTAAATGTTGATGATTGTGGAGGAACTTGATGATTTTGGAGGAACTTGAAAACCAGGCCGAAGAGTCTAGACTTGATGTGGGCATTGAGAAGCCAATAACAGGTTTTGAGTGGGATTGGGGGGAAGCAATCCTCAAGGGTGAAGGATTTGAGAGTTCTAGAGGATAGACTGGAGGGGCAGAGATTAGTCCGAGAGCTCAACCCGAAGACTGTCCCTTTAGTAGACCTAAGGAAGCTGCGGTACTGGGGAGGAGAGAATGAAGCGTGTTTGCGGCTTTTCCGGGTGACAGCCTTCAGGACTAGGGAATTCATGGGAGAAAAGGAAGTGTGGAAGAGATCCAGAGCTAAGACAACTAGTGGCAAAAACAGGGAAACCCAATTGAAGATGTGGGTTTTGAAGGACTTGAAATGGAGAATTTGGTTTTGAACTTGTGTTTGAGGTAATCCGAATTGGTGAATAAGAAGCTTTGTACAACTTCAGATAACTTTCCATAGAACTCAGAGCAGTGGGCTTGTGGCAGGTTGGCTCTCTAGGTTGTCTCTCCAGGCCTGGTGTGGGAGGGAAAGGGCAGTGTGGGGTGGTGAGCAGCTCTGGTCAGCAAGGCGAGGCGGCGGGGTCCGAGGGAAGGCGGGCAGCGTCTGCAGCAGGTGGAGAGTAGTTCCCCTCAGCCTCAAATCCTCTTGCCCAGTAAGAGGCTGAGCTCCAGAGCACGCACTGGTGCTGGGGGCAGCAAAGGCGGCGGGGTCCGAGGGAAGGCGGGCAGCGTCTGCAGCAGGTGGAGAGTAGTTCCCCTCAGCATCAAATCCTCTTGCCCAGTAAGAGGCTGAGCTCCAGAGCACGCACTGGTGCTGGGGGCAGC